GAATATTTTTAGCTTTTATAATGAATACCTAAGCTTAATAGCAAAGTTAACAAGACAATTGTTAAAAAATAAAAAAATTTAAATCGGTTAGGTTAACTAGGTTGTAGATAGACACGAACCAACTCAAGCATTTTTTTTTCAAGACAAAGATAAAATTAAAAAATTTAACTTAGCGATAAAATTTAATGATAAAGTTCAAATAATAGTTTTTGAGTTATAATTAAATAATGAACTCCAAAATGTATGATAAAGTTTAATAATAAAAAATTATATTATAATTATTATAAATCTAAGAATATAATAAAATATTCACAATATTTTCTTCCATCACTTGAATAATCATTTACCAAACATTAAATCAAAATTTCATAAACACCAATTTATATCCTTGGATTTATTATCATCAAATCAATATTACACAAAGCCTAAATTTGACCTGAAATCCGTTAAATTGGGTTACGGATAAATTTACATACATTTATAGTCTAGTACACACACTATTAATAAGTACTCTATGACTAGATTCAAGCTAAATTGAAATAAGCGTTACAATTGAATAGATATCGTTTTCTGCAAGATTATAAAAGATTTTAAAGCATTGAAATAAGCTCTACAAAATAAGGAATTATATTAATAGATAATAATATGACGAGTGTTTAATTTCGGGAGTGGAAAGTTTAGCAGACAGTAGGTAAATAGCGTGTTGGTGAAATTTATATTTTAGTGTATGTGTATATTGCAAAAAGTCTCGGATGACAATAGAGATCGGTATTATTTCGTGAGAACAAATGAAACGTCAATAGAGTGGGAACGATAGAGAGAGAGATTTTGGACGTGGTATAAAAAATTCGGCGTTTACCCGCGGCTCGTTCGCTGGATCGTTTGTCCAGCGTGCCGCGGTTTGGCAGTACTCCAAAATTTCGTGGGATACGGCTGTGCGCAGATTAGTGTCCCTCGCGGTTCGCTATCGGTGTCGCCATACCACCTCTGGCTGCATCTCTCGATATTTAGTCGAGCGACCAGTCCGATTAGCCAATATTAACGAGCCAACGATCCACGATTGCCACAAAGCAACAGAGACAGACTTACATTGAAAATAGAGATAAAGATTTGCGTCCATGAATCGCGTGAAAATTCAATTAAAAACTGTCGCTAAAAAACGTTACAAATTCGTTCCAACTTGCCAACTTTTCTCTTTTATTCTTTTCTCCGTTGATTTCACGCGTCGTACAACCGGAATACTTGTGTCGCAACTTTTTTTATCTACACCACAAAAGATAGATAAGTTGGAGTTGGAACGAGGAAACGATCGACTACCGGAAATACTTGGCATTTCTGTTTTCTATAGGCTCATCTTCTTTTCCTCATACCTGGCTCTTCATCTCACGCCTCCATCGCTTCCAAGTACATTTCATGAAATCGATCCAACTGTTGAAATGAAATATTTTTGCGTCATTCAAGGCTACCTACCGCCGATTTACCTGTATGACGTCTGATTATCGTACATGAATCATCGTCGAGCTGAGAGGTGAGTTATAGCACGAGTCACGGAACATAGTTAAATCCCTCGGTTTCCGCACGCACTAAACACCGATCGATGTATCAACGATGAAGTGGCTGACGACGAGTCATCGGCTTCTACGCTAACCCAACCCCGTTGATTCATGATGGATTTTCATCATTTTTAATCGCGTAAATAAGTGCTTTTGTCCATTAGGATTATACTTATGATTTATATCTACATGTATTATTAATTAATAATGATAGATCGGTACATAGATAGATTAATAATAGTCTATGTATTCATGAGAACCATTTTTTTATTTAATCGGGATTTAGATAAATTCGTGGAAAAAAATTTACCTGTCCAAGGAGGAAATTTTATTATATTAAATATTGATTAATAATGCTAGATAAAATCTTTTTTTTTTCTAGCTTCTTTTAATTTTTCATTTAAAATTGTGTAATTGAATAAAAGTACTTATTTTCATGTCGACTTGAATGGAATTAATTTTTATTATATTAAATCTACAATCTAGTGTGAATTAAAATAACTATTTTTTATTACAACGAGATTGTTAATAAAAAGATCAAAATCATAATAATTAGTGTGTATTTAACGACACAAGAAAAAATGGAAATTTATTTCCAACAATTATTATTTCGAAAGCAAGAGAATGTTTCCATAAAATCCATATCATTATTGGTAATATTTACTTTTATGCAAAAAAAATATTAATCAATTAATAACAAGTGTTTTGAATTTTGAATTGATAAAAAATAAATGTCTTTCGAAGAAAAACATGCATTTACTAAGTAAATTATTTCTACATGAATAATTAATTTACAATGTTGATATATTACTTGTGACGATTCTCAGAATTATTAATAAATTTTTTTTTCCCCCTTTAACCCAATGGAGTTCTGCTTAATTCACTAAAACCTTGAAAGTGAAAAAAAACCATTGAAAAAAAAAACTGGAGAATTTATTAAATTGGAAATCACTTCCTCTAATTCCATAAAACGAATTTATATTTTAGTTATCACAAAAAATAAAAAATTCACAGGGAATAAATCTGTGAAATATCGAAGCAATCAGTAAACATTTATTAATTTTTTGCAATAGCCGCACAATTTTTCTTCGATTGAGGATTAAATTTATTTTCAATCAAGAAACTTCATTAAAATATTCGGTTTGATATATTTGTCAACATTTTAATCAATCTCTTCATCGTATTTTTAATGTCTGAGAGTATTTAAATTATTTTCCATAATTAATAAATAAATATTTTAAGAAAAATTACAAATAAATAACAATAAAATTAAAACTTCAATAAAAATAACAAAAATCTCATAAAATTCATTTTAAAATTTTCAATCTCTTCCTACTAAATATTTAATTTAAAAAAATTTAATAAATCAACTCAATTTTCCAAAAAATGTAATAAAATATTTGAACTCCATTTCAATTAATAAATAATCTCTGATCAATTCCGAGCTGTAATTAAATAATACTCTAGACATGATTTATTGTTGAAAAAAAAAAAATATCAAAAATGATAACATATTTTCGTAAATATTATTAAACGATTGAATTTAATCTTTCAAAAGCTTTAACAGCTCCTTTATTATTTATAAATTTTCCAAACTCTCGTAGTTCTTGAATTCAGTTTATAAGAAGTTGAAGGAAATTCATACATGTACAATCTATTATTAATGTAGAAGGAAAACGTTGAAATATATGGGGCATACAATGTTCTATCCACATAAACGCAACAAAATCAACGACAGGTGTTTGCCAGGAGGAATAATCAAGACTACATAACACACATACTGAGGAGTGAGTGGTTTTGCGAAAGTTTTCTTGTGCTATCTACCATTCTCACAGTTACCTAACGAGCTTAGGAACGCAAGGATATTAGATAGATATACATATAATACGATAGTGTAGTTAATGTGTGATACGTGTATGGCTTCCGTCGTTCGAATGCAAACTTTTCAATCGACCCACATTCTTAGTGGCTCTGTATGGTTTTATTATATTATGCATTAAACAGGAATGTTTGTATAGCATTATGCGTTATATAAAATAAATAGTCCATAGAATATTATTATAAAAATTCAATAGATGCTTGATATAATAAATTTATAAGAGAAAAATATTTATTTCTAGGTAAACCAGGAGACGATGGCAAAAGATTCGAGGCTAAAAGAGGGTAAACGTTGCGACTGTATTCGAAACACCTGTGGAGCTCCAAAGGGATTTACTTGGTGAAAGAGTGAGTGCAGCGCTCACTCTCTCTTCATCTTGCTTTTTTTTTTCCTTCTTTTTATACTTTTTCTACCCCTCGACATGGTGGTTTTGTTGAAAAGCAACAAAACGAAGAATTCAAGGGAGATTCAATGTTAACAGAGAAAGAGAGAGACTTCAACTCTCAAATTAGCCTCTTGACGATAAAAAGAAATTGGAGGGAGCCCTTGGGAGAGTAACAATGTTGATGCTACGCCCGGTCAATCGAATACACGACCCAGAGAATTAACCAAAGGGTAAAACTCTGTCTCTATAACTATCCCAACATCGATTTCTAAACTTTTTATTTTAATTAATTATTTATCTCTAATGAAAGTTCATTCTCACTTTGTATAATTTAATAATTGCACTTTTAAATGTATTACTTTTTTTTCAAGATAATTAACATGAAATCGAATTTTTTTTTTTCGTCTATTTGATTAATTCACTGTGAAGTAGTATTTTAGAGTTGATTTTATAAAAAAAATAATTGAATGAATTGTTTAATGATTTGTGTTTAAAAAATATGAACGTTTGAATAATTTAACACCTTTTTGATATGAAAAAGGTTAAAAAATAACTGAAGTTATTAAACCATCACACAATTTTTCTCTGATCATTTTCAACTTTTTTTTTCTGGTATTTTAATGGAGATGTCAATTTGGTATATTTGTTATGGATACAAGTAAATTTTGAAATTAAAAGTGGTAAAATATTTTTAACAAATTGTATGACTTTTGTTTTTATTTTTTTGAGCTTTTAGCTTTTTGAATAAAGGCTGTCATTTACAGAGAGAATGTCTGTCTCTCTTTTTTTTTTATGTTCCAGTTGTTACATTATATAGATAAATATTTCAATCTGATATTCATTTATATAAAATAAATGCAGTAAACAAAAGATTTATGCATAAAATTTTGATGAGTGTTAGTATACAAAAAACTTTTGACGTTTATTTTAAAATAATAATTTTTTAATATTCAACAAACTTTATAACAGAATATAATTAACTGTAATGTATCTGTCATTAAAATGAAACTTATTCATAAAATAAACTTTCTTCTCTAAACATTAATTTTTTTTTAGCACAAAAAAATGTCGATTCCATGCCTTTCTAAAGAGAATTATTCTTAACCATGCAGAGAATAATTTCTTTGCTAATGAAATGTAAGAAGACATAAACAATGATGGAAAAAAAAAAATAAAAACTCACGGTATTTGACGTGAAGTCGAGGCACAGGATCTTGAGGCCATGCGAGGCAGTGATGTGTAAGGCCCAAAAAGGCCAAGATTTGTAGAAGTAAGAGCATCTTCAAGTCTTCTTTAAGCCCTTAGGCTGTATTATGAATCAGCGATCGTAACCGTCACTCGCCATTTTGCCCTCCGACCTGCACAACACTTCTGAAAGAAAAAAAAGTAACAAAACTCAATTAAACAAAAGTTAGGAATTAATTAAAAAAAATAAATCTTATTATAATCAATCATGTTTCTCTTCTACAAGAGAAGTAAAATGATAAAGTTTCCCTTCCTATTCATTATTCCAATTAAAAGTAAAACTCGCAGCTAGGATCAGTTTCTCTGAAGCAGTTTGAGTCCTACCACAAGTAGAAACTGTAACAAAATTCACAATTGTCAAGAATTCAGTAAAATAAAAGGCTAATGAGAGATTTTGGTGGTAGAGGTTTGATGTCATCTTTATGCATTATGCAAAGACACGTGTTTTGTCTCTTTCCCAAGCTAAATTCAAACGAATTTCCCCGTTGGTACTTGAATATTCGGCCCTATGGTGAAGTTGAAAAGGTAAAGAGAAGATCTAATGTCACGCAGAATACGACGGAAACAACTGAAGCTCTCCACTCTACGATTCTCTCGACCTCTTGCAGCTCTTGCTTCTCAAGTGCCACGAGGATCGCATTAAATACCTTTGAATTGCTTTGTCTCTCTGACAGTTACGGTAACAACGGCGTTTGGCTTAATTTCCACTTGAGAATTCTGTACTTTCAGTTCCAGTTCTCTTATAATAAATCTCAAAAAGCCTCAGGTTAATTTACTCTTCTTTTTTTTTTAATTCTCCCACCGTTTTATTCATTATTCATTTATTATTTTCACTTCTTTTCTTTTTTTCAGCTTTATTTTTATCAAAATAAATAACTTTCACCTCAATCACCTTACGAAATGTTTGTGTGGCTCTTCCTTGCAGTCTGACAGGTAAATAAAAAATTCCTGGATGTCACAGGTAAACTTTCTCTGATGAATTTCTCTATCTCTGTACCAAGTTACAAGGGTTTATTTTTTTTTCTTGAAGAAGATCAATAATAAATGAAAATAAATAAAGTAATGATCTTAGTCGTGTACCTTGGAGGTAAAAACGATGATTGAGAGAAAGCGGAGCACAAGAAGAGATGAATAAGAAGATGAAGAGCGGCAATACTCCAACTTTGACCGGAAGGAGATTCGATTGCGCACATAAGTACAGTTGAAATCGGTATGAGAGCGTCATGAAGACCGAGACTCGCGCAAAGATAAGACAGCCGATAAGGGGGCTATTTGAAAATGGGCCACTTATCCAATAGAACGTGCCCTCGTTGATAAATCTTGCACGTAGACTTACGGTGCAGTTACTGAAAGACAGAGATGGTAAGCTCCGAGTAGATCTCATTTCAGTGTGACGAGAGCGGAAATTCCCTCGTGGTTTTCGATGAAGCTTTTCTCAGCTTTCCTCAATATTCCTTCAAGTTTAAGCTATACCCAGACCATCTTATAGACCAAGTTGATACTCGTACTTGAAGCTTAAGAATTAATTGCTATCAAGCTTCAGAGAGTTAGAGCATTCAGAGATAGCTTTGTTGAATGAGAAGGAGAAAAAATATTTATCATGATTTTTACCAGTTACAGATATACTGCTCATCATTCACGTACAACATCCATCAAAAGTTTATCCTATCCATGAATATTTTAGTCTGAATTTATGGTTTAATCATTTTTTTTCACTTTAAGTTTTCGTGTTTCATATTTTTGAAAATTAAAAAATATTGTTTTTTATCATTTTTTCATTATTTTCTCTTGTCAATCTGCTAGTTGGTTTATGTACCATAAATTTATAAGGATAAACTTTTAACTAAATTATTTCATTGAAATATCAACTCTTTTGAATAAAACTTTTTTTTTTAGTGTTAAATAAATATGTTTTCTCTTAATAGAATAAAAATTTAAAAATGCTTTTGAAATTTTCTCAAACATGAAACAAATTAGTAAATATTATTCATCTAATTTATTCTATAGAACATTCAACAAGTATGAAAATAATTCATTCAATTTTAAAAATCATTTTTTTCTTTAATTAAAAAATTGTAAATAACTTGTTTTAAAATTTTTAATCCACCAATTTTCGATAATCCTTCAAAAAGGAACTCAATTCTTTTATTTCCAGTTCGAGTTTAATCAATCTAAATTGCAGCTCTAAAAAAGTGATTTAAAAGCTTCTCTCGATCTTTACAAATCCCAAATAAATAGAAATAATCAAAGGCTAAAACTTGAAATAATTCTAAAACATTCCCCGGTAATAATTCTATATTTATATCGGCACAGACAGAATAGCATAAGCGATAAAAAAGGGAATTAAAAAATAGTGATAACAACAAAAGGAAGATGAAGAGAACTTTCGTTGAATCACTCTTGGGTAAAATTACATCGAGAAAATTTATTCGTTCGATTCGTAATTTGCGTCGCGAACGAATGCAGTCCCGATTGCGAGTGAAGCGTGCGGAGTTTCAATTGGGTCGCGCGTACAATGAGAGGAGATAGAGAGAAAGAACGATAGATGAGAAGAGAAAGAGAGAGAGAGAGAGAGAGAGTACGATCTAGCTTCACCAACAGCTGGACTCTATCGACGACGATCGGACGTGACTCGAGCATAGAAATCGAGTAACGAGCATCCCCCTTCTCTATTTCTCTTCTCTTTAGTTGCCTCTGTCTCTCTCCTCCACTATTGCCTGCAGCTATTATTAATGATTCGCGGTTCCGACCAAGTTATTTCATGGAAGTCAGTAGCATACCCATAATAATCAGCAAAAACATTTTAGTACGTACAGCACGCGTATTCTAGCTTGCGATTCATCAAGCATACGCTACCAGTACTCACCAATTATCACAACTCCAATGCCTAGGGTATGTACGTGTTTAGATTATTAGCACATATGTATGACAAATTGTTCTTTTGTAGTCTTTGTTCTTTAATAACTATTCCAATCATTTAACTTCTTACATGTAATATTCATGATATCTAATATTCAACGACAGTGATTGATTCTCTTGTTTATTAGTCATTAAAAAATTGAAAAATGTAGGTAATGTAGAGGCATGAGCAGAGATGAGAGCACCACCATCATCTCATCACGTTGCTGCAACAACGGATGTGAGACTGGAATTGGTTACATCAAGAGCAGACGAGAATGATGAGATATCTCACACTAGATATGCCGACTATTTTAAGCTTTACACGATATTATATTTTATATATACGCTGACACATTATTCATTGTCCAACGAGAAAATGGAAAATGTCCTTTTCTACATGTACAGTCTTCATCGCTCTAGACTCATGTCCATTTCGTACTGAGTAAATTGATTTTACATTTTTTGCATGTGTTTTTAAGTTAGAGTTGTACAAAAAATTTATGCTTTACTATGAAATATTAATTTCCTTTTTTTAACTCTACTTTTAAGTGCTTCCTCTGTCATATTTGAAGGATGAGATGACATTCGTCATTTGCTATAATTTATTTCATGCATTGAAGAAATTTTTATTCTCTCTATACTTTTTTTTTTTTAATTACATTATTATTTTTTTGCATTTTAAATCTTATTGCCCGTTATAATTTTTTTTCTTTAAAAAAATTAATGATAAAAAAACATGTTAAATTAATATTAATAAATAAATTGAAAAAGGAGGAATTTTTTTTTATATACTTTCATAGTGTATTATGCAATTAAAAAATTTTTTTCCTCTAGAATAATTCTTTTATCACACAATATGAAATTATTAAGAAGGTGTGAAAAATTGGCAAGTTTGCGGAAATAATTTATAGTAGAGCGAATTTATGATTGAGATAAAATACAAAGAACATGGCTACTAATTATATAAATGAGAAAACTGGTGCGTTGGTTGTGCAAAAGGATAAAATGATGTGGCATATGTGTCTATGTGTATGTGCAATAGTAACGGCATATTTTGGTCTCTTTATCGTTATGATGTCAGCTTTGTTGGACAGAAAGCACTGCTGCAATGGCAACTATTGAAATGCAGTGGCCCCAACTGAATTTTAAATTACTTCAAATTATCTTAATAAGGATCCAACATTTTCGCTCTCTGTCCAGAAAGTCAACCGTGTTATGGAGCGGTAGAGTAGGGAGAGAATTGCTTTGGTGGCAATCGCGACTCGCTTTCCCGTTTCTCGATTTGTATGCATTGAATTCAAAACAATGTTGCGCGTTTTCAACGAATGAAAATATTATACTATCCTATTGCACACCATCACGATATTGTTCAAGAAAAGGTGAAATAAAATTTATATTTCCAGATTCACTGACACCATTTTCCTATTTATAAATTAATGCACCAGAAAATTATTAGATCATTATTTATATTTTATTCATAGAAATTTATCGACATGTGTTCTGTATTTAATTGATTAAAACATTCAAGTCTAAGATTGATCATATCTTATGAAATTAACAGTACATGAATGAGATGTCAATTATTTTTGAAACATTTAACTGAACTCATTTTCGAGAGTCGATTTCATCAAAACCAGTCAAAAGTAATTATGCTAATTTATTGGGGAAATTTATAGGCTTACTTAATGCTTATAAATTTTTGTTTGTATCTATGTATCAAAACATATTAATCTCTAAACTGATGTATGAATAATGCAACATTCATAAATCATTATATTAAATGAATACCTACATGCATATATAAAATTACTATGTGAAATAATCCTGATAAAAATAGGTCATTACATCACAAATTATTTCTCTACTTTATGATAGAGAACTTTTTCAGTACCACTTTTAAATGACCCTCGAGGCATTATTTTTATAAATATTTAAATGTGATATAAGTTTCTAGAGTACACATTGCCATTTTATATGTAGATAAAGGGACCCTTGTACTGATTTTTATTTCAAACCGCCTTTATTACTTCCTCCAAGTTTATATGTTTATTTTCAATCACTCATCATATATCATCGCATATCGAATGTAAATATTTATTTTTAAAATAATAACAAATATTTATCTTGTATTCTAAGCCTCAATTATTTACACTAGTAATTATTTATATAATTATAAAATATTGAGCGGTAAAATAAATTTATCTTGGAGTTAATTTTATTGGAAA